TCACCCAAGGATTCTTGACAGAAGGACAATGTCTCTCACAACAAGCAGGGAACAGAGAAAACAAGCATTTTTTTCCATAATAACTTTGCCTGATTAGATTGGTCTGTCTGTAAGTCTCCACTGACCACCCTCTGCTTTATACAGCATTTTATAGCAACTGAAGATAACATACGGTAGTTACTTGATTGTGCTATAAAGTGGCACAATTATGTGGAAAATACATAACACCTCCACTTTAAATGCAGTATTGGAGCGCCGGATTGTGTAGGAACATGAAAGCACAGGTGGCTATGTGAGGATGTTGCCGTGGTTAAACCCTACTACAGGCTGGTCACTGGGTGTTTCAACAGGACAACACTGTCCTGGAGAACAACAGCATTTCTACACAGGCTTCTGTTGTGAAGTCATCATCACGTGCAGCAATGTTTCTACCACTCCATGGAAACAAGATCATCAAGTCTGTCTAATAAGATAAAGCAGGTTGATAGCCTACTTTTCTCAGAGTGGGTGGTTTTGGGCTCAGATGTTCAGCCTTTGATCAGTTGAATGGAGTTCCATACTAGATATTGTGCTCTTGTTCAAATTTAAAACTCTTTCATAAATGGATTATTTGCATGTCCTCCTTCAGTCTTGCCTTTCTTCCAGCTGCATTTTTAGGAGTGAGACATCGTTCAATGTTTGGAACAGATGGATTTCACAGAAACAGTAGCAGTGATGAGACAACGAGGTACAAATGAAAGGGATCTGAAGATTCATCACTTTACAGAGTGCTTCTTATTATGCTGATTGTTGATAATACTTGCAGCTAAGATTTGTGTTAAAAAATTATGACCTGACTGAGGCAATGATTTCTTTGTATGTCTAACATTTTTTCTTGTAAGGGAATTTTCATAGCACCCATATGAGGCCAGCTAAAGGGTTTAGTGAATTTAACTCTGACAAATTTCTGCTGGTTTTATTGCAGTTTTTTTTTCTCTCCTCTGCATCGGGGAATGAGCCAACAGGGAGAAGGTTTACTGTTCGTCATTAAAACAGCATGGCAACCAAAATAGTAGCCGACATTTTTCTGCTTTACCTCATACCTGCCTTAAACACATGACCTTCAATAACTGGCACTCAAATTAAAACACTAATGTCCTTCAGTTTGTTATCTGACCCAGGAACAGATCAAAATTTGGATTTCTTCTTCCTTTTAAATGAAATTAATCATTACCTTAACATTCCTGAGTTTCCAAACTTGTATTTTGTGCTGTATAGGTGTGTATTTTTCACTTTTTATGTTCATTTTATTTGACTCAAAGTGAGATGAAACTAGGAAATCCAAAATTAAAATGCAAAGAAAAACAGGAATTAGGATGTTTATTCGGAACCAGATTCAATAGAATAAAAGATCTAGAATTGTTTAATCCCAACAAAGTAAAACTATTTGAAATGAAAAAGATAGCACACTGATCAAGACAGAAAAACATGGTTAAGTTACAATAAGTAAATAAATAAATAGCAAAACTGCGCAGGAAGATTAATCAAGGTCAAGATGAGTCTGCTGAACCTTAACACAATTAAAAATGAGGTCCAGATGTATGTACTAATAACAAGAGCTCCATGATTTATTAAAGATGCTAGGCATGAAGCTTCTATGATGACCTTATTATCATTTTAAAATGAGAGATACTGGATACTGATTCTCTATGCTTTGAAACAAACACAGCACATTCTTACAGTCAACACTTTCAAAGGGACAAATGTGTTGCTTTTTATGTTAATTGCTTCTTATTTACTTTTGAAAATAGCCAACTGTTACTAGGCTACCTGTCGAATGTTTTGGAACCTGTGTGGTTTCAGTGCTGTACACCCCAGTGGATGGACGTTAGAACTGGGTGTAGTGTTCTATCCGCCTGGTTTTGGTGAGAACGTTCTGGATCAACTAGTCAATAACTTAACCTTTCTCTAGCTCTCTGACAGGATATATTGGTGGGTGCAGATCTGCTTAAGCGATCACGGATCTAATGAGTTAAGTGACCTGAGCATAATTACATTTGATACAGAAAGCAAAAGTTTGGGGCTACTGCTCTATACTTCGTGTAAAAAGGACAGCCTAATAACTATATAACTTTATGCTGTATCTGTGTCACGGTGCGGCCCTAAGTTTTCTGTTAAACACCCAGTAGTAACTTCCTTACCTTGGTAATACATCAGCTCCAGCTGTCGGGCCACACAAGGGAAAATTAGCAGAAACAATTAAACAATCACTTTATATACCCTCAATGTTCATTTTAATAGACCTGTGGTGGAGGGTGTAGTAAAATCTAGCTAGATGTTGTCATGTTAAAATCGACCATCCTGTTCTTCACATGCAATTCTTCCTCCTCCCAGAGGGCAGAGATCCTGCTTCTTGTCAAGCTGATGCCTGTTTAAAAATGCAATATTAAGAGCCAACAGAATATCCCAGATACTGTTTCACTCCTCTCGCCACCTCAAAACACAGTTATGTAAAAAAGAGAATAAAACAAATTGATGCCAGAAGTATGTCTGTTCAATTTGGATAAAGTTGTCCAGTGTCTGATTGTTGCAGCAATAACATTCCCTGCAGGGATTAAAAGCTTTTTTCTAGTTTCTAAGATGATGATCTGGAAGGAAATTATTCAATTTGAAGACGTCATACATTCCTCTCACAGCCTCCCACCTCCCTGTCTTAACAAACTGGATTAGCCAATAACAAGAGGGAGAGGTGTGATGTAACAGTTGCTGTGATTAAGACATCTTGATGTCTAAAAGTTTTATTAACATCTGAATAGAACCATTTGGGTTTTTTTTTCTTTGTGCTGCTCATAGTTTTCTTGCCTTACTCTCTGCTACTCTACATCTTCTTCCTGACAGCAGAGCCTCCCTCCTGGTCGACTCATCATCTGCTGTAAGATTCAAGATCAATCTACCTTAACACTCATGTCCCCGCTGCTCTTCTACTACCTAATCTGATTACAGAGTTCCAGTTATCCCCCCTGCTTCCAGGTTCCCTGGCAAAGATGCCCATTGCAAATTTGCTTGTTCAATAAACTTTATTCTTTTTTTTTTTCAATCACTTCCTGAGAGTGCTCTGCATGTGGGTTACAAATGTTGTATTAACTAATAGTGTCCCATTAATATTGATAAATACTTAATAGGACAAGATTGTGTTAGATTAACTTGCTTACCTTGAGTTGTTTTAACACATCTTCTCATGTAAATAACATAAAATCCACAGATGTTCAGCAAAAATATTCATTTTAAATAATAACTTGAACATTAAAGAGTAAACATTAAACCAGCATCTTCAGAATTTTATTTCTTAAAGTATGGTGTCACGTTTACGATGAAAAATTCTTCCTAACTTAATCTATTTAAATTGAGTCAATGCAAAAATTAAGCATGCTGTAGAGAGGATTTTGGAGTGTAAAGGTTTAAAGTTTAACCTCATGACATCCCCAGATGTAACACAATTTCTGCTCAAACAAGCCTGTAAATGGAAGAGACTTGCACTTGTACTGATTTCAGTGTTGAAAAATCAAATATTCTCTGATCACAAAATGTTTCTTTTAATGTATGCAAGTTAACAAAAATAATGCTGTTGTTGGTGATGTAAGCAGAAAAAATTTATTTGATAAGAATAACACTTAAGCTTGAGAATATTGTTTACCATTAAGGTTTAGACCAGATACCTTATTAGCATATAACTTATAATGTCAAGATGTCTTCCCTATCTATTTTTTGCAGTTAAGCAAACTTTATCAAGTTATTTTAGGTTTGAAATACATCAATTGCACAACATAACTTCATTTGTTTTTGTATGTTGTAATAATTGATTCTGTCGAGGCAATTATTTTATATGTGACAGTAGGGATTGGCTAGCAAGTTATCCCACAATGCATTGGACCAATAGCAGCAGGAATTAATTAAACCATTTTCTTATTTGTCACAAAATTTAGTTTTAAGACATTAAAGACAAAAAAGTATTCTCCAAAAGCTCATCTTTACAGTCACTTCATGAAGAATGAGGCTACTTTCAGAGCAGTAGAGTGCTTGTTGGCTACAAGCCAACATTTACATGCCATACATACAACTGCATGAGGTGTATGCACATTTTCATGACTGCCCCGCTCTGCCTGAAGGCACAATGCATGTAATTGTGTTTGTTTTACCGGAAAACGGTCAACTAGCAATTACTGCCTGACCTTTTTTGTTTTTGTATTTAAAAAACTAGTGGGTTCCACTTTACTGTTCTTAAATTTCATATTTTAAAATACATTTTAGTGGGTTAGATTCATTTTATTAATCCAATGAAACATAAACACTCACTTGTATCAACTGGTTCCACTAACTAGGTTATTTAACTTGAACATGAGAATATGAGAATATTCAAGTTAAATCTAGGCAACGAAAGCCAAGAACCTTATTACAAGTCAGTAATGTTGAATTAACTTAACTGGCATAAGTCAATTCTATTGTGATCTTGTAAATGTAAGTCACAACATTAAGTTAAACAAACTTAAGTCCAAAGTGTTGAATTTACTGAACTGAATATTTTGTCTTTACTGAAATGACTATGTTCAAAGTACATATGTAACACTCTTTAGATTTGATTAACTAGGTTTAGTTGAACCGCTTAACATAAATTCGTAAAGTAAATTCAACATTTCATAATTACTCTCCCACCATAAAATTGTAATTTTCTAATACTGTACTTTTGTTGCTTTTTCATTTGACTTTTATGTTTTTCTATATTTGATTAATCTCAATCAGAGTAATTATGATTGTAATAGATTTGTTCCGCTGTGTTTCATAATAAAGTGTTTGGTTTAGTAATGTGGAGTGTAGACAAAAAAGATAATAGATCCAAAATCACGGCCCACCGTGAAGTTTACAAAAGCGCGTACAGAACTGGCACGAAGAATCCAGTCCACCTTAAAACACAGTTACACATTTCCTGAAAACGCCCCGTGTGCCTGCGTGCGCGTACGTATGTGAGAAAGAGAGAAAGAACTGAAGTGACTCTGAGTTGTAATAATAAGGCGGCGTTGTTTATCCAAAGAGAAGGGGCTGGACGAAGTCTGAATTCAGAGCCAAACTTTTCTTTACTTCCATTTCCTTCTCTTCACCAAAGGAGTCTAACACGAACCGCAGCGTCGAGCGAGCGAGCAAGGTCAACAGCAGCGGCAGCCCCGCGAGCTGTCAGAAAGGCACCGGCCAGCCGCGGCTCCCGGTAGTTTGCGGAGAAAACCTATCTTGAGTTGTAGCGGGAGAGCGAACGGGCTGAACGAACGGAAAGCTGAAGGAAAGTTGAGTTGAACCGAGTGGCACCATGTTTAATAATCCGGGGACGTACGCCAACAAGAAGAGGAAGAAGCCCGTCCTCAAGCAGTAAGCGCTTCTCTCTCTTCTGTCTTCACATGTCCGGTTTGCTGCTACATTACGTGCGCTAACCGAACGAGACATTTTTATATTTTTTTTTTACATGAGATAAAAAAAGACGCTCTTGACTAGTAATTAACTCCTGGTTGAATGTGCTTGAAATGAATCTACAATTACATTTAGTGTGCTCAATAAATTATTTCAATCTCATTAAATCCAAATTAACTTATGAAATATTTTGCTTTAAAAATTACTTCGATCTATCATATGGAGTATGCGAGTTCAGGAGAAAAAACGATACAATTGCTAGGCTAGGATGAGATGGAAATTGACACGACTGAATTTGTGCGAATGTAAAGTTATTTGTTGGTAAGACCACCTTAAAAATGTGTCTACTTGGATCTGGCATGGACATCTTGCCCTCGCACATTAATCACAATCAAGTTTGAGAGTCGGCTGCTGCTCTCACGCGATGCTCCGCGGAGGGCGGGGGCTCGCAGTCTGTCGCTGGCTTTTTGTAATGTGATCCAGCAGTAGGGCTTCGGGATCAGCAGCAGCAGGCTGAAAGTCTCTTCTCTCTGCTTCTCGTGGCGGGACGTCAGCGCTCTCACGGCCCTGCGAAGCTGCTGTGGCACCATGGCTTTTCCAGTTGAGTTTATGGCTCACTGTATTCTCTGTACTGCCACCTGTTGACGAGGGTTGAGTTCGGAAAAATAGTCTTTCAAAGGCCATCATGCGCAGACTGTGTAAAACTGATTAAAAGTCTGTACAGTTTTCGGTTTTGTTGACACTGTTTGTTATGGGTTGCTTCACTGTCTGAATCAGTAAAAAGATGATGATAAACCTAAACAAACAGTGAACAAACAAGACATAAAGTAAAACAAAACCATCGTAAAGAAAGTTACTATTTGAGTTAATGATCCATAAAATAATGTTTTTATGAACAAAAATCGAAAGTTGGCAAGTTCATATTGGATTAGTCAGGATCTAATATGAAGCATTAAAATTTTTTATGCCTTATTTTACTTAAGTGTCACAAAGTTAGTGCCGGTATGCTGCCTTTTTTGAGACATTACTAATGATGATGGGCAAGTAAAGCCTGGTTGCCCACCACACTTATATTACATTGGGGGAAGCCCTGCATGTGCTTCCCTGTGTTCACAGAGATCTATTCAGTCACCTTGTGCTCTGAAGAACCTGAAGGATCCTGCTCATTTTCAGTTTTGCATTCAGATATTTTGCTAGTTTATTCTGTATTATTCAGACTGTCCACAAAGTGGTGAGCCACAAGCCCTTATTGCCTAGAAGGACTACGCCTCTTGTGGATTCTCCTTTCCCCCCACAGTATATGGGTTTTAATGGGTTGTTTCAGTCATCAGAAGATAAAATTACTCAATCTGTTAGAGAAGTTGTCTCTGATCATTGACTACGGGTAAACACAACCTGGATGTTCTTCATACAGCAATTTATCCACTTTAAAGATGTCCATCATGTTTTAGTGTTATACATAAACAGAGGACAGAAACCTGCGTCCCTGGAGCTTGTCCTCTCTGGGTCCACAGTGCATGGATCCATGTGCTGTGCTCACACAGATATCTGGATGTTCCCAGGGTAAATTCCAAAGGAAAGAGGTGCCTTGTCTGTAGACGTCTGTGTTTCTGGAGATTTTGGGACTGAGGTTTCCTGTGCAGCCAGCTGCACAAAGGCAGCATTGAGCCTAAACATAAAATGCTGTGGTCTTTCCTCTTGGGCATTCCATGGCAGAGTGGCCCATTAAGATTGCCTTTTATTACTGGGACGCCTGCTATGCATCTTGCAGATTCTTTGTGCTGTTCATCATCCTTACAAACTAATTTGGTGTGATGCATACTCTTCTTAAAGGTTAGAGCAACACTTTGTGCTTGCTTTCCCATAAAATGCTGAATCACCTTGAAATGTTCCTATAGAGCAGGTGTGTCAAACTCAATTTCGTTTTGGGCCAAATCAAGATCATGAAGGCTCTTAAAGGGCCGATTATGCCAGAATGTGTTGATAAAACCTCTTCACAAACTGTTAATATGTCAATTACATAATATTATTGAAGATCTTTTCAGTCCCTTCAGGAACTAATAATAAATGTGACTGTTTATTTACTCACTGTATAAATCATGGACTATAATCATACATCAACTAAATTCTGAAGAAACGAGGGATTGATTGATATAAATTGGCAGTAAACAGATTAAAATTGCATTGATATGATTGGTAATATAATATATAATCACACTTAGTGTTTAGTCTAGTGTGTGGAGGGCCACATAAAAAGCTATGGTGGGCCGGATTTGGCCGCTGGGCCTTGAGTTTGACACGTGCTATAGAGCTTTGGAGCTGGCATCACTGTGTGTGACGTTTACGTCGCTCAGCGCCATGTTGTTTGGCCACATACCAAAACAAACTTTTTTCTCTGTTTTTTATCGTGTTACCACTGGATCCTCCTCTTCCATAATGCTGAAAAGCTGTTTGAATTAAAGAGGGTTATATCGCGAAAAGTTTCTCACAGATGCCAAAAAGTGTTACATAGAAAAAATGGCTAAAATTGGACATATCGACTCGTTTGGAATAAAAAGTTGGAGCAGAGACTCTGAACATTTGCCTCATCTGATCTAACCCTAACCCAGATATCTTTTCATACTTGGTCTGTGGTGTCTGTGCTTACACAGCAAATCAATTCAAGAATTATAAGTCAATGGAGGCACATGTCCAGTTTACGAACGTTACCTGTAATGTTCACTGACATAAAATTCTAGAACAGGATCTATTTCATTACATGTTCACTTACCTGAAATATATTAAATCCAACAAGGATTTATTTTATAACATTAATTTATTAAATGAGAGAAAACAGCCACTTCCATGTTATTATTCAATTCTACACATATTTCAATACAAAATTATGAATGGAACAAATGCAATTTTCTTTTTTACTATCTACATTTTACATGAAACAGTACTGACTGTACAAATATTTCAGAAGAATGTGTGCAGAAAATCTCTTTTTAAACTACTTGTTTGGGGGGGAAATACATTTCACATCAGTTTGAAAGGCTAATATATAAATTTATAAACAGGAAGACAGAGGATATTATATCTGTAATTTCAGTATATTTTAGATAGTTTTATAAACACATAATGTAGTTCCAGTTAGTTATAGTTTGTCCCATTAATTAGTGTATTTATTTAGTTAGCATAAATGTTTCTCAATTTCACTTTTTGTTATTTCATTAGTTTCGGTTTACTGTAATAACCTTGGCTTGTACTGTATACTTTCATTTGACTGGAAAATACCCAGAATTCTCAGTAACTGAATTGTTGATCTTTTTAAAATCCAGTGATGACTCGCAAAGATCAGTTCAGGGTCCAGCCCTGCAATCATTGTAGTACTGTTCACACTTGAGTATTTAAATTAATTCTGATTTAAATACACAACTTACTTCCTGTTGTGCTTACTCAAGTGACTGTATTAAACTACAAAAAGTCTTCCTGTGAAATGTTTGAAAAGAACTTTTTCTGCTTTTTCTGAGTTTTTTTTTCTCAGGAAATGTTTTATTCAGAAGACACTTTTACCTCAGCTCTCTGGAGTTCTGTTGTTTTTACCTCATTTCACTGACGTGCTGCTCCTGGTTGTGTTTCTACTGAATGTAGCTGAAGTGACTGCAGCTGATCTCGCCCTCTCGTCATTTTATTGTAAAGCACATGTTAGTGTCCTTCTCTCTGTGAAGGTTTCTGAGGCTACTTCTGTAAACCAAAGCTGCATCTGTTTTTATCAGCAGGCATCTTTGTGTACAGCCAACATGTCATGCTTCAGAACCACAGAGGCAGATGCCCTGCCTTTTTCCAGACCAACATGTGTCAGTATCTTCACACACGTTTCATCCTTATTATCCCGGCAGAGCTGTGCTCTGCTCTGGAATCCAGATAGAAGCAAATAGACCAGTTACAGAACAGCCCAATGTCTGCTCAGCAATGTGAGCCCCAAACCAAGGAACAGAAAAACGTTTTGAATGCCGGCTTTTGTCTCTGCAGAGCATTTCTGCAGAGTGAGATCATTTCTGAGAAGGTAGAGCTGCAGGATGAGGGCAACAGGCGGTTAGTGGTGGTAGAGGAGGAAATGGAATAGCCTGTCATTAAACAACATTTCTCTAAAGAAAGAACTTCAGGGAAATCAAGGATTTGCTGCCTGGACGGCACATGAAACCTTGTGATCCAATGTGATCAGAACTGGTCAGACTGCAGTTTTTCTGAAACTTTGTGTCACATGGAGTCAGGAGTCTTGACCCCCACAGATCTCTCCCTTCGCCTCCCTCAATCCTATCTAATATCATGAGGCCTAGTATTCAGTTGAACTTGACTAGTTGCTACCCAGAGCAGCTGATAGTGATTTTATCATTCCTGCAGTTTCTGGAACTTTCCCCTGCAGGTGTATGAAGGTTCCCACTCTTTCATCAAATTATCACATGACAATGCTGTCAGTTTGACATCAGCTGACATCCACTGGCTCCTTGTAGCTCAGAGAATAGACTTCAGGATACTGTTGTTAGTTGTTATCACTGAACGGTTTAGCAACACAATGCATTAAAGATCTGCTGGTGTTGTATCAACCTTCCAGACCAATCAGGTCTCCTGGTTCTGGTCTGCTCTGCATCCCCAGAATCAGAACCTAACCAAACAAGCAGCATTCAGCTTCTATGAACAAATCTGGGACAAGCTTCCAGAAAACTCAAAAACAGCTGAAACACTGAGTTTCTTCTAAATCAAGACTAAAAACTCATCTGTTCAGAGTTGCTTTTGAACCACAATAAATTAAACACTGGCCAACATATTTGATGTGTAATGATAATTTTTATGATGGCACTTGAAAATATGTAATGTTTGATACTGGTTTCTCAATTGGTCACTATCTGAAGTTTTCATAACCCCTCATCTTTGTATTTTTATGATTGAAAAAGCGTTTTGAACGACTTTGTTGCTCAAATGTTCTATATAAATAAACTTGATTAAAATTTGTGTACTCCAGTTTTCTGGTTCTGGTTTTCGAAGACTGAGGTTTAACCCATAAAGAAAAGGGCATGACATATTGTACTTTGCATAAAGAGTGAGTATTTTTATCATTATTTCCTGTTTATATTATTTCATTCTGCACAGCTCTACTGTGGTTCCTCATCTGCTGTTCGGTCATTAACATTGTCAGGATTTTATTTTTGTTCTTTTGCTTTTGTTTGATGTACAGCCACTGTGTGATGGATCTGCAGCTGTGTTTCTGGCCATTGTATTGCTACATGACCATATCTGTGAAACAGAGCAGTTCTCTGACTATATTGGTGAAAATACCTTGATGAGTGGAAGGCACATGAGTACAGGCCCAAATCAGGAAACCTCCATCACTCTACAGCAAACAGTGCAGTGTTGTACATTGTGGTCAATCAGCTTTCCACTGGATCTACTTTAGACATACTTCCAGAACCCTTGTGGTTTAATCAGAAGAAAAGCTATTTTGGGTTTGACTGTAGTTGTTGTTTTCACTCTTGCTGTATTGTCGGGAATGATTTCACCTGTTGAATCTGGTCTAGTTTAAGCTTCAGATCATGTCACATCATGCCATTCCTTCATCAAAACATATCTGGAGTATTGCTTTGATTCTTTTATGTATGTTTGAGGAATCCTTTTTTCTCTGACAGAGAATAAAGGCAGCCATTCCGGAGTACCTAAATATTTAACCATCAGTGGTCTCTAGTCTGCTTGCATTCACATATGCATTTAAACAACATCATAGTTCATTTCAACTGAATGGAGACTGAGGGTTTTAGGCGGACCGGAGTTCAATTTCTTGGTCCACATCGGAGTTTGATTATGCATTCACACCTACCCAAACAAACTGAAATTTCTAGGCAAACAAACTTGAGTTGGATTAAAGCGGACTAAGCAGAATTGAATACACTGTTAGTCTAACGTAATAAGTGAAGCAAATGCTGTGTTGTTGTCAGCATGTTATTTCGGTCTGAAGTGATCTAAGCATTATGAACATCCCCCCCCTTTCCCTGTTCTTGCTCTGTAAAATCACCATGTGTTTCCTGTTTAATATGGCTCAATCTAAATGAGAACTTCCCTTTCTGACAGTGAAAACTAAGCAGTGATAAAATGTTGTCCAAAGCACACAGCTGACTGGAAAGAGAGTAGCAGCAGTAATCACCTGAGTCAGACTGTCAGTCTGGACTAGCTGTGAACATGGCATTTCGTGCAGTCACTTTCAGATGTGTGAGAGGAGGTTCTGTATTGACAGATAAGTGATGTCTATTTCTAATGAGATTTTTAATCCATGCAAAGGTTTAGAGTCACCTAGTGGTGTGATGACGAACTGCATGCGACGGGTCCTTCAGGCACTCTCGCGGCTTCCCCCACCAGAATTCTTAGGAGTGCTATTTTTCTAGTTCAACAATTATACTATAATTATACATTTGACATCTACAAATGTCATTTGTAATGTTTTATCGTGGTTAGGCTGGAAAAATATGACCTGTGAGTGGGAGCTGCGCCAGTTGGTGTTCGTGGCTGACCACTCAGTCATGACACTAACTGTGTCTTTTATTTTTCAGCCGAGGGGCCACTCACATTTTGAAGAGTTGTCATTCTTTATCGTGCTAGGTGACAAGCAAACCAACGGGGAACGTTACACTGATCACCACATGTCGCACAGAGCTCTTCCATCAGCTTTCTACACGGATGGAAGAGCGGGTTAGTCAGACTTTTACTCCTCCATTACTAAACACATATTTTCTGTTCACCCCTCAGGAAGAAGGTCGCCGACAACAATGAAGTTGTTAAATCGAACCCTTCCAAGCGCCACCGGGATCGGCTGAATGGGGAGCTGGACCGCTTGATGGAGCTGCTGCCTTTCCCTGATGAGGTTCGCTCCCGCTTGGACAAGCTCTCTGTCCTGCGCCTGAGCGTGGGATACCTCAGGGTCAAGAGCTACTTTAAAAGTAAGCCAGCTGAGACTTCAATTATCCCCAATCTGATGCTGCCTGGGGCAAGGATCACATGTTGCTATGGACACCTGCCTATTAGTTTAAACCTTCACTAATTTCACCAGTATGTTGTTGTTGTTCAAGATGTGGTACCAACTTTAATAATTCCATTCAGTTTATCTGTAGCTTTTTTGTTTGTTATTTTGTCTGATGGCGTCAAACATATTCCGTCATAATGTATTTTCATTCTCCTGTTTTTAAATGACATTAACATAGGCTATTATGATGCCTTTAATTTTTATGCAGTTTAACTAATATTCAACAAGTTGGACAATTCCTTCACACAATCACATTTTCTCAACAGTGATAAAAAAAAACACTGATAGAACAATAAAATTAATCAACTCCACTTAAATTAAGAGATGCCTGTAGCATTTCACCTGGTGCGGTCTGAACATGCAGCCTCACAACTTCTACCATATATCTGGAGAATCTGCGCTAATATTTATATTGGACTTACAAAATCCAACCTGACCCGGACTGAGTCCATAGACATTATGACTGATTGACTTTAATTAGAGATTGGAATCTGGACGAAACCCGACTTATTATTTTAATTAGGATTTTACTGCTTTCGTTTTTAGAGCTTCATTTAGCAGCACAACATCTCCCAGCTTTTATTTATGGATCTTTCAGATACATTTTGTTCTTCATTTTAAAGGAGGGTTACTCAATTGCAAATCTGATTGAAAGTTTTAAATGCGCTTTTTAACCAGATGCACTAACTGTTCTGTCCATAACTCTTCAGCGCGCTGTCAGTTCCCCATCAACAAGATACCTTTAGTTCAGTGTCTGTTGCAGATTATATTCAGAAGGGATTCTTTTTTGTATTGAATGATTATATATCAATCAATACAATGATTGTACTATATATGGTGGATCTTTCCACAATGTACTCTTCTATGCTTAAAGTTGAAAGTGATAAGCTTCATAATGTTGAACTGGAACATTACATATGTCAGGGGCCAAGGATAGCAGTTGGATAAATTTACAACTTTAACAGAGTCCACATTTCCAGGCAGCAAAAGCTTCTGAACTGCAGAGAATTTAGACCCTTGGATGAAGTGGAGCATACAGAAAAATAATTCTGTCTTTTTATCAGGATATGTTGAGTGTAAACCCCAGGCAGAATTCAAACTGGTCCTAAGTAAGGTGTAGACATGCTGTCTGACAGTGAAGGCTTTGGATCACTGGGGACTTTCCTGACCAATGAACTCTTCAGCAAAAAGAAGAGAACAAAACTTGACCTTGCGCTTGTCCGGCTGCTGCAGGCCCCCTTCAGCCTCTCGTAGCATGGACTCTGCCTGAAGCCTGTTTAGTGGTTGTGTAGGGTCCTCTAATGACTCACGCAGCAGGTCTGAATGCTGATTAGCGAGCAAGTCCCTTTCTCTTAGCATAGCCGCCTGTCAGAATGTTTCACTTGCCGTGAAATGCAGACTGAAAAGAAACGGTACATAGCTTAGCCATGGAATGAGTTTTCTTTATGATCCTGTGTGGAGACTGTGGTTGGTTTCCTGTGGGAGGGAAACGGCTCAGGATGCACTGCTGCTCTGTTGACGAGTTAAACCACGTGGAGAAGCCAGGTCCAAATTAACCGTGTCACATGAAAATGTTCTGGCAGAAACTTTTTTTTGACAAGCAGGAATGATGAGCATGCAAGAATGTAGTTTTAGGAAGTAACGCATCCTCAGTGTTTCTACCTTCTCTCCACCCTCTGTGTGAACTACACCCACTGCCTCCCATGGTGATCTGAGCATTCCAACATTAGCTGTGTGCGAAGTGAATGCTCAGACTTGGAAGGCATGATCAGTCATGTGAAGTATGGATATCTGTTAGTTTTGGTTTGTGATTCTTGTGTGCCTGTAAATATGTTTGCTGCAGCAAAAGAGACCCCTTCTCCTTCTCCAAGTGCTGTATCAGCACGATGAGATGGCTTTTGTTCTACATGAACATAAACACGCGCTGCAGAGGTAGAAAACCCTCGTAGGTCCAGTTTAATGATTAGACTGCATATGTAAAAACAGACTTATATGCCGTCAGCTGAACCATGAATTTCCACTGCTGTTTCCTCTCACACCCTTGAACCTACTTCTACTGCTCTGCACATTAGCAGGACATACAGGCTGTTCACTGCTCAAATATACTGAGATAACTGAAGAAAAACTCCTAAAATCTCCCTTGGTGACACTCATCAACACAACCTGTTGCCTTTTCTCTTTGTACTGCTGGGGGCAGAGGACAAGTTATTACCCTATTGACATGAACATGTTGCAGCTTTTCAAGGTAGGACTCAGAACGGGCCAATTAGGTTGATAAAAACTTATATTTGGCTGCATGAAAAAGCTGCAGCAGAGGACTGTGATGTAATTAGTTGGCAATACACTGTAATGTTGTAAGGGGTTCTGATTTAGTTTCATACATTTCCTGAGGTGCATCAGGTTATAATTGAACCAGTCAAGCAGAGGAAGAGGAAAGGAACTGCATGCCTCTTTAATGTTAGTTCAGAGTCCTCTCCTCTCTGATGGGACAGCTCAAATACTGGGTGACGCTGGGCAGGATTTTGTCCCTGATGACACAATTAAAATTACCTGAGATATCCATGAATGTAGTTGGATGTACAGACTGCAAGATAGAGTGGATGACTCCATAGAAAAAAATGACAAAAATTGTGAAAATAATGCATCATTTTCCCTTTAACTACTTTTGCAGAAATATGCAACCCTTTGTGTTGGGCTGTGAATACTTAGTTTAGGGTAGAAGATCTTTCATGTCAATAGCCATCACTTTCTCTACTAACCCCTTGAAGAATCTAGCTAAGAATCTAGTTGTAACTCGTAAAATTCACGAGTTACAACAACATTTAAGTTGCCTTTCGGATTAGTAAAGTATTTTTAATTGATTTGAATGAATTTTTTATTTTTTTGCAAAGTTCTATGAACCTTGCATGAAAGGTTAATTTTCCCAAAGAAATCAAACGCAGTTGATTTACTTGTGATGAGCACAACGAGATTATGAGCTCTCCACTTGTGAGCACCATATGTTTTCGAAGGTAAAGGCTGCTGGAGACTCTAACAAGTGGAGGAGTTTAAGCTTTAATGTGTGTGATCTTGGATCATAAATTATGTTCTCTTCACTTAATTTTCAAATATGTTTATCTGCTAGATGAAAACAGAGCAGAACCAAAGTCAGTTTGAGAATAAAGCTGATTGTGATCCTATGCAAACACACATCACTTGAAGATTGAAAAGCCAGAATGGGTGGTATCACATGAGGACTGCAACACAAGCAGGTCTGGACAGCTATTGGTGGATTTTTATAACTGTTATTATGTCTCAATGTCTCCATTTAACCTAACTGGCTCCAAGTCATAAAATGGGGAAAAAATATATTTTATTTGTAATGCAGAATCTCAGTTAGCATCTAGTCTGGTGTTTTGATGCTGTAGTCCATCGTCTCATCTGACGATTTTCAGTCAGATGAAACTTGTGTGCAGTGCAGTTGCATCATCCAGTTTTGACATGGAGCTTATGCTGTTCATCTTGATAAACACCATGAAGGAGCCATTTAAGCTGGAGCTGCCTCAGCTGTCTGCAGGAAGAATTCACACAGGTGTGGCACACAAAGCAGGCCTATTGTTTTCTGATACCGAGCCATGTTTTAGTGGAGTTCTTTGGAAAGTTCTGCTTTATATGAGCTGAGTTTTAAATGATGCCAACACATAATACAAAATCTTCTAAAATGCAGACATATGCAAAATGTAGATCATGCAGATTAAAAATACTGATGACGGATAAGAAGGCCAGACAGTTGATGTGTCAAAATGTCACTCATTATTTAGAGCATTTTACTACACATTGGGTTTGGCTGCTGCTGTGTGAGCAACTTGCAACTCTGAATGACACAAGCTGCTGCAAGAGGTCAAAGGCAGAAAACATTACCTCTACAAATTTGTTTAAAGATTCTTTGTTTTTATTCAGTTCCTAAGGAACACTCAGCAGTCAGACAACCACTCTGTCAAGCACTGACAAGTGTGTGGTGGCTGTGCTGGTGGAGAAGAAATGGGGCTACATGCCCAACTAGCTCATCAGACATGCTAGTATCTTTTTAAATTGTAGAAAATGAAGGAATTTGTCACGACAAATGTAGGCAATCGGCAAACTTCCTCCCCTTTGCTCTGTTAGGCTCAGGCTTCTCCCCTATAGCAGAGCATGTTATGAATGCTCAGGCTAGTTAGCATGATCACCGAATAACCAATGACAGCGGATAAACAGTTTTCCTAGAATGTTAAATTGTTTCTCTGCCAATAGCATATTGAGCAATGAGTACATGACGTTGATTTACAGCTTTAAGACCCTCCTTTTGGCTCTGACTGGTTATTTCTGACCGGGAGTGGTGCATTTCTTCAGACAGCAATAGCAGCACTCAGAGGAGGTGGAGGAGCTTGTTTTTTTTCACAGATTATTTGCCTCAAACTGTTGAGAGACAGTGACAATTTTAAAAAATATATATATTTTTTTTTAAATGTTGCATACTGCAACTTTAAGCCTGAAGTGTGAGTAGAGACAATAAACCTGTCCTATGAAGTTTGACAGTGACCTGGTCCAGTCTCTGGCAGTTGAGGTTGTAAAGTTATAGATTAAGTATTTTCTGACATTTTACTGACAATCAGAAATACTTTACAGATACAGTTATATGAAATTATTATTTTCTGCTCTTTCATTAATAGCCCTGAAATCAAACTTTTCAGCAGCCAAACAAGTTCATACATTTGAAATAAACCTTCAGTCTGAAGAAAAACAATAACTCCACAAGTTTCTCGGTGAATGAAATGTGAGTCAGGTTGTGTTCTTCCTCTGCTCTGCTGGCTGGCTAGCTGAATGTTTGGCTGGCACCAGTATGTGATTAGTTCAGCAAGTATTTTTTTAAAGGAAAAAAAAATGACCAAAGTGGCTTGG